GGCCTACGTGTTGTATAGTCTTCCCTTAATTTTTGTATTCATGCCCGTCAGTGTGAAAAGCTATTTGCATATATATATGCAGCCACACTTAAGTTACGGCCCTCAGCATGTGTTGTGAGCATCATTGTGGCCCACAGGGCTTCCAAAGTTGAGTAGCCCTGTCCTATAGCCACCATCTATGCCCTGAATGATTCATTTTATCCTTAGAGTTTTTGTGGTGACGAGTTGCTTTTAGCTTTCCTGGAATAAAGATTTTTAAAGCAAGTGTTGATCCTCAGCTGGTCTAATTCACACTGGCTCTATTGAAGGCAGTACAGCTGCATTGATTTACTTCAGCTGAGGATCTGACACAGTAACACTTCAGGGAAAGCATGACTAACTCATTCTGACTTTCCCTCTCCTTTCCTTATTTATGTCTTAGTGTATTTTAGCATGATGCTTTTGAGGGTGATGATGATGCCTGCATGGTAAAACCTGAGTTTAATTTGAGTTAGGCTTCTGCTTTACTTTTCTGTAGGTTATATGTCACCCTGTAGTTGACTTTTTTTTTTAAGCAAGTGGAGGCTCCCAGCCACTCTTGACCTAAAGTTTGAACTTCTTCACTTTTCGTGCTTTTAAGGGAACCTCTGTAGATTTTGCATAATCATTTCAATATCTGAAAAGAGTTGCGCCCCCACTGAACGAGAGGGAGGGAATAGTAGTTAACCTTTACCATACATGATTACATGTAAATCAGAATGTTGTTGTTATATTAGTGCATTGCTTGGCTACATTCAATAGGTTCATTTAGCAAAAAAATTCCATCAGTAATGCTTCAGTGGCTGTTTCTGCTCAGCTGCAATTTCTGTAAGAAGATAGGAGCCTGAGTCACTAATTCTCTGAAGAGATGGCTGCTCCTTCAGCCAGGTGACAGTCAATTAAAGGTTCTCCAAGTTCCTTGAGACTAGTGAAAATGGCAGTCAGCTAGATTTAGGATGTGTCTACAGGTATAGCACTGCAATGCCACAGCTCTATCACTGCAGCTGCGCTGCTGCAGAGCATCTGAAGAACACATCCTATGACAATGGGAGAGAGCTCTCCTGTCAGCTTCATAAAAACACCTGCATATGTCCATAGGAGATGCTTTCCTGATGAAATAGTACTGTCCACCACTCAAGGAAGCAGGGGACTGATACCCTCAATTGAGATCAGGTGTTGTCACAAAAAAATTCTTAATGTGTAAAGTTACTAGCCAAAGAAGAGTTGAAAAACTTCTCAATAATCTCCTTGAAATAGTCGTAAGTGAGTGGTGGGTTCTGTGGAAATATTTTCTCTTATATAATAGATACTTGCTCAGGGACATATGTCAATGAATGGATGCCTGTTTAAATAGATTGGGCATTTAAAACTCTTTCAAAGCTTTCTTTAAATATTTAGGTATCAATGAAGATATGAACTGACATTAATTCTAATCATTGTCTGAGACCCAAGTTAGTTCTGGCTATATCGCCTTGTAAACGAGTACAGAAGCACTTAGGAACTTAAAAAAAAGGTGAAATGGGAGTGTTTAGCAGCAATATCCACACGATTCTAGTGTATAGCTTGCTATCATCATGTATTTTTAGTAGACAAAATTTTCTGCCTGGTACTTCCAAAAATATTTATGTGAATATCAATTTTAATAGGGCTAAAGTTGTGCTGTTGTTTCTCCCTAGCATCTCTTTATTAGTAGATTTGACATTGTGTATATCAATGTGAATAAAAATGGTTCTGTCACTGGCCAAACAAATACTTGCATGTATTATTCAAGTCAACAACCTTCAATAAACACAAAGTATCAAGAGAGCAGGAAATCAAGCTGTTGATTTCTGACATGAAGGAAAGATGATAGAACAGTTCTCAAACCTTTCTCTGCTCAGTTAATGGTACTTACTGTGACTTTTCTTATTATGTAAAGAACTTTTAAAGAACCACTGTAGATGATCAGAAAGACAGATTAGAAAAGTATTATGTGGAAAGAAGCAGCACTCCAAAGTTTAAAAAACATGTGTTTGGGAATAAAGTTACTTAAATATTAAGGACAATCAATCTCTTTTGCTCTTAGACGAACTATTCTTTGTCCCTCTTCACTAATAGAATTTACTCTCTTGACCCTTGATGTTGTTCCCCTTACACACATTCAGTAGTACTCATCCGAGAAGTATTATACAATATTAGGATGGAAGAAATCATTCTTTGCCTAGCACAAGTGTGCTGTGTATAGCTGCACAGCATGAAGTGATGAGGGAACCTGACTGCTGGATATTCAGATTGGATTTGAATGAAATTGATTTGTGAAGAAAAGTGCACTGTTTAAAAAAAAAATACACTGCTATCACATAGAAAGAACCATGAATATTTCTTGCTTCAGTGCTAATCATTTGAGATTCACATTGGACAGCCTATGATGGCCCTTGTATTTATGATACTATATACAAGGGGGAAGAGAGTGTTGTATTTAAAAACCATTTTGTGTCAAGCTGCTAACCTTCTGGAATTTCCATAGGGAAAAACTATGAAGTTAGATGTAGCACCATGTTAGTGCAAGGTTTTGAGCTTCTTTGGTTTACCTACAATATAAAATGCTTAAGGCATTGAACTAGATCCAAAAAAAGGGACTTAGAACATCAGTGTCTAATGTTTAGGCACCGTATCATAAAGTGAAATACCAATTCCAGAGTTAGATGCCCAAACTCCCTATACATCCCTTACAAATGAGATCCACACAAGTTTTGATGTGAGCCCAATCCAGTTGACCCTTTGAAGAACCCTGATTCCTACAGGAGAGAGAAGTTTAAAAATGGTTAGCTGCAGAATCTCATTGGGGCTTAGATGTGAGCTAGGAGCTCAGGCAGTTAGAAAGAGGCAGATGTGCACATGCTTACTTGCAGATATTTAGGTGCAAACTTAAATGTGGAACTCTATCAATGGAAACTTAAACATGTGGAGACTTCAGGCACCTACATGATTATGCAGCAGCTAAGAGAGGGTTTTGAGGATCTAAATTTTGGATATAGCAGTAAGGTGCCTAAATCCCTTTGTGAATCTAGCTCCAAGTATATGTCTAAGTGAGCTAGAAATTTTTTTGTAAATAATTTCCTGGCTTTATATTGGATGATTCATTTACAATGAAGCTGTGAAAATCAGAACATGAATTTTTACAGGGAACACTAATATTTTATAAACAAAACAACAGACAGCTATAATATTTCTCCAATTGTTAAGCATCTGACACCGAATCTTTCATATTTGATACCAAAATATTTCAAAATCTTTGATTACCAGCTAATGATATCTAAAACTAGGCCAAGCATTAAAGAATAACTAACTTTTCTTGAACAATTAAGGGGACTTCTGTATGACAAAGTATCCTAAGTAATGAAAGCATTTACTTGCTATGCATTAACCCACTTACTCCAACTCTGAATGTGGTTTTTTTTCTTAGAACCTGGTCCAGAAAGTATAAAATTTCCCTCATGATGGCTTCTGAAGACTGCTTCTGTGAATGTTTTCAGAGAATCCCATAAGTCTAACTTCATTCAGAAGGTTTCCTGAAAGATAATTGTTTGTGGTGTTTTGCGTGAAATGAGACAATCCTATGCTCTCAAATGAACTCTCATAAAAAAATAAGACAACAAAAATACTGTATCACCTGTGAGCAAAAACTTTTTAAAAAATGATCCATATCTGATCTTTGTCCTCATTCTCAAAGGAAACCTGTATGGCAGCTTCAAACGATATATTGATCATGTCCCATTGCCATTTTTACTACATTATATTAATTTGATTACTACAGTGAGATAATTTTGAACAGCTTTTACAATTGTTTATACAGCAAACTCAACACGCACCTGATAGTGTCTGTGTTCAATGTACCCTTACATCCATCCACTAACAAGTTCACCAGTGTCAAATTGAGTTGCTGTAATCTCCCAACCCTTACTTCATATTCCCCTGTTTATACATAAAAAAAAATCATATTAGCCCTTTTGGCTAAGGCTTGGCACCATGATCCATACATTTGTTTAAAAATCACTGCCACTCATGTTAGAAAATAATAATATATATTTTGGAAAGATACCTATGTATATTACTTTGTAAATACTCAGAGCTCTTGTTGGACAAATGAGTACTTTACTTGGTTTTCTTTTTTCTCTATTGCCTTATTGATTTATCTACACCAAATTAACTAAATATGTGAATTTAAGGTGGATTAGTTAAACTTCATTAAACCCATGTATGTACATTCTCACTGAAAATTAAAGAAGCTTTAATTCGGTTTAATTTAATTCACTTTGGAAGTGAGTTGACTAAACAAAGGCCGTGGAAGTTTAATCCACATCAAATTCACACCTTTATTTAATTTGGATCAATTTTCCTGATTGTCCCAGTGAAGGGATCCCCTAAAATTGTTAGCTTTTTAGGACAAGGATTGCTTTTTACTATGTGAATGAACAGTGTCATCACCTTGAGGTTCTGATTTAGCTTGATAAAAGAAATAAGAAATCATCATAATAATGAAAGTGTTTTGAAATGCTGTCAAAATAATTAAATAACAGCTCCTTGGCGATATTCCTTTTTTTATTTTTGCATTTTGATTTTAATTTGTGAAGGTCAAAATACAACTCGGTTCAAAAAAGAATTAGGGAAGATTATGGAGAATGGCTATTAGCCAAGATGTTCAGGGATGTATCCCCAAATGCAAAAAGCCAGGACTGGACCAGAGGCGTCGGACCATCAAAATTGCCCTGTTTTGTTGGTTCTTTCTGAAGCATCTGGCACTAGCCACTATCAGAAGGCAGGATACTGTGATAGAGGGAGAATTGATCTGGTCCAGTAAAGGTACTCTTGTCTGTAAAAAGAAGGCTGTTTTATTGGAATTTCTTCCCTTGGATCACCTGATGCATGTGATTTAGAATGCTAATGTTAATAAAGTTACATTAGAAACAGAGAATAATGGCATTGCTTCATTTTTCTTGCAGATTTTCAGACGCTACTGGTTGGTTTTCAAGAAAGCTTCTAGTAAAGGACCCAGAAGACTAGAAAAATTTCCAGATGAAAAGGCAGCCTATTTCAGAAATTTTCATAAGGTAGGTTCATCCCCAAGATTACAACTATTTGGATATAAGATATTTCTGATATGGAAACTCTTGAAAACAGTATTATAAGTAAGTTGAAGGGCATGATCCTCAGACCACTGAAGTCAATGGCGAGCATCCTATTGATATAATTGGTGAAGAATCAGGCCTCTGTTTCTGTCCAGATAAGCAAGAGAAGTTTATTCTTTTGATTATATAAGTATCTGTTATTTACATTAGTGTTTGCCTTGAAAATATCAGACTGCATTTACTCAGGGTATTTAAATAAAATATTTAACAATTATAAATTAAACATCAAGTCAATTTCATTTGATGCTAAATGTACCAGCTGTAAGTTCTAGTGAAATCAACATTTGGAATATTAAACATCATTTTCATAGAAGATTTCAAGATAGGTCTCAGCATTTTTTTGGGGTAAAAATCAGCATTGCTTCTAAATTGGCAGTCTTGATTGAATCAATTCCTTAGTGCTTTCTGTTTATCACAATCAGTTCTTTGGTGCAACTCAAGACGTTTGAGAATAGGATTTCCATTCCTGTCACTTCAGCTACTGTCATTAACTCACCACGTAGTACTGCAGTGATGTTGTGATAAAATGACATAATGCCTTGTATTTTTATAACAATCTTCCACCAGGGATCTCAAAGAGCAGAATAAACATTTGGAACATTTGGATTTAACCTGCCGCAGCTCTTTAAGTTAGACATTACCTCATTAGCTCACAGTTGGTCAAACTAAAACATAGATGTGACTTACCCAAACTTGCACAGTAAGACTGAAGGACCCAGGAGTAAAATCCAGATCTGCTGAGGTCTCAGTCTTGGGCTTCCCATCACAAGAAAACAAATTCCCATTTTATCTCCAATAAACTAAATCAACATTTTGACACCTGTCACAAGGGAAACTTAATCAAGTGGGTCACCTATTATTTCCAGGTGGAGATTTGTTCTATTTGTACTATTTCCTGGTGGATGTTTGTTTGTAGAAGTCTCTGTTAATGAGATACCCCATGCTGGTGTTGGGTTAGGAGCTATGTAAAGAATTTGCACATTGCCCAGAGTAAGTCATCACTCTAGTATTCTAATTGTTAGATGTACCAGGTCTCTACCAAGCAAATATAGTCCTCCTCCTCCTCTTTAAAATGGGCTTGTATGAAGTGGAGACAGAGAGCATACACCTATTTCAACTTTCTGGTCTGTTGTTATTTTCTATTTAAATTCTCTGTTAGTAACATTGTCCTTTTTTTATGTCTAAAAATGACTACATCGCTAGCCCATCATTAATGAGAGACAGTTATGCCCACTCTTATTCATTTAATTGTGCTAACATGGTTCCCCTATAGTCCTTTGAGTATTTTATATGCCAGTTATTTCCATCAAATGGCTCACAACTGACGTCAAGAGTGACTTCCCCCCAAAACAGTTGTAATGTCACAATAAAGTGACATCTGCAAACAGGAAAATGGGGAGGAGTAGATAAGCTCCTCAGAAGCAAAGATCTCTTTTAATTTCAAATGTCTTAATTGATAAAGAAAGCTGAGTAGGATTTTAAAAGGAACAGGTTAAAACGACTAATACTAAGATAGTACCTTTCATCCAGAATACTTCAAAAGCACAGTAAAGCTGAATTGTCAGCTATATATTTTATAGACAAAACAATGACAACTATTTAAAAGTACATCAAAATAAAGTGTAGTATATTCCTGTAGGAGAGGATGTGGAGAATAATACCTTGTCCTGTTTCTATGACTGGTAGAATTTTGGAATGTAATAATATTAAAAGGAAAAAATTAATCTGGTCACCAGGGTGACATCTCCACTCTGTAAGAAGTGTCAGGAAATCATTGTACATGTCAAGCAATCAAGAATTAGAAAATTTTCCTCTCTTCCACACAAACATTTTAGAAAGTTTCAATGAGGCACTAGCAGTTTAATGGCAAGTAGTCAAATGGGGCAACTCTTTCTCTACTTAATCCTATGTCATACTTTGACATTTTATTTTGATCACTAATTAACTAGTTTTAGTTCACAAAATGTGGCTGGAATCTGATTGTTGTGTATATTAGGGGTGGATTTGACCCACACCCCTCCCTTCGGCCCCTTTTATACAAAGAAAGAGGGTGGGAGTGGTGTAGAGGGACCCATGAATGATTTTCCTTAGCTGGTTTATGAACTATCTGAGCAGCACCGCAACACTCAGTTATGCTAGGAACTTCTTACAGGCACAACACAAAATATCATCCGGAGTACTGCATTCCCCATAGACAATAGTATACAGATTATCCTAGATGCCTCAAGACTAAAGCTAGGTAAAACTCACCTGCTTAAGAGTTTAATTTATCAACACAAGCTTGGTTCAAGTGAAATTTCTTCCTCTCAGTGAATTCTAAGAAGAGATCTATATATATTTTGGCTGGAAATAAGACAAAATTGATAGCTTGAACTGAGCTGTTTGGATTCAAACATGAAGGAACCAAACTCCCAGCAAAGCAATGTTACGAAGTTTTTCCCATTTTTTTGCCCCTGTCACTTTTCTGTGAGAAGCAAATCTTCTGGATCTACAGTATCTCTGTTTTTCCAGTGGATCTCTCCCTTTGAGCAACGGCTGCCAATCAAGTTCAAAATTATACAGATTGCTCCTATGGAACTGGCTGAAGAACTTTATTTTCTGAAATCATTGGGACTCAACTTTCTTTGGGAGAAAGAATGGCCTGATTAACCCACTGCTCTCTTCTAGCCTTTCTTTCATCTTGTATGACAGCCTGATTAAATATTTATAAACATGAATGCAGGTAAACATCATTTAGTGAAGAAATGCTTTTACTCTGGTATCCATATGTATAATATTATAATCTATGATTTCATTAATCGATGAGGAATTCTGTGGCACCTTAACCTCTAACACATTTATTTAAGAATATGACCAACTGGGCTCCAGCCCATGAAAGCTTATGCCCAAATAAATGTGTTAGACTTTAAGGGGTCACAGGACTCCTCATTGTCTTTGCTCAAACAGACTAACATGGCTACCCCTCTGAAATTAATTAATCAATTATTATAAATTCCCTTTTTTCCTCCCCCTTTCCATAAGGCTATGCATGGAGGTCTAACGGTTTGGTGTTGTCTAGTGATATTGTTGTTATTAATGGCAGTAATGGCGTTTAGTAGTATGGTAGTTCCTTATTGACAGACACTGCTGACAATAACAATAAATATTGCATTTATAGGTTGACATCATGTTGCTTCTGTTGGCTTCAGTTTTGGAGGTTAGCGTTTCTTGTACTATCATAAGACAATCCTTTGATTTCTTAGTAGAAATCTTTTCTGCTTAGAAAAGAATTTCAGATGGTATCTGATTCCAAGACTATATTTTAAAAAGACATGTATGATTTACTTACAATTCTAAATAAGTATGACCAACTGGCTGACGTAATATCTTTTATTGGATCAACTTTCAAGCTACACAAAGCTTCACGGAGCCCTTCTTCAGTGTAAGCATTATGTCTTCTATTATAACAAAAAAATCCCTCAAGTGTTATACTATCTGTTTAATACATACCATCCACAAAAGGATCCTGAAATCAGTTAATTCCTTTTGTGTTATGTCAAACTGACATAGCTTCTGCCTTTAAGATAAACACAAAAGTCATGTCAAATTCTTATCAAGGCAGAAACCTTTTAAGAACAAGACCTTTGAGATTACAGTACAATCACCATCCTAATTGTACTGTGTTTTTGTCTTTGAAGGATGAGATCTTTGCCATGCTTTCATTATACTTTACTTTGTGATAGATCATGTCTTTGCAGAGTAAAAGCAATGTATTGTTGCACTGATCTATATCTGACACAGCACATACTCCCCCATACACTGGTACAGTTCTGTGGCTGTGCATGTTAGAGGAAAGCAAGATCCTAGGCCCACATCATCCTTTCTCACCTACATGTTCAAAGGAGTGATACAGGACCCTGATCCTCAAGAATGTTCTCATAGTGCCTTTGAAAAGCCATTTATTCCCTGTGTATTGGAAAAAATGGCATGGCTGAACCCTCAGAATGGTTTGGGTGTATAATCTTGGTGTTCCTGCTATAGATATTACTTTTACAGATTACCAGTTATTTTCTGATTGAGCTTATCATTATGCAGTTACGTTAGTATTTTTATTTATTATTTGTATTATTGTTACTGTAGTATTCAGAAGACCTCATTAGGCAACGATCCCTTTTGGTAGGTGCTATATTCTTGAGGGGTTTTTTTTTTTTTGAGCTGTTGGGTGTTTCTTGGCTTATAATTATTTTGTAATTAATACAGAATTGTTTGTGTTTGGGTGAAGAATTTAGATGTTAATCATAAGGTTATTTTCTTTCTGTCTCTACACTAGAGGTTTTAATGAAGTATTTTCAGTTGTTCTGTAACATTCTAATAATGCTAAATATGAAACCTTTTGAGTTTTTGCTATTTGGACAAACTTCTGCTTGATGTAATGTGCTTGTGCTGATAGATGTATATATAAAAAGGATAAAGTGAATCTCACAAATGTAATGTCAGTATTTGTTATTAACTCATCTAGAAACCTAGAGGGAACAAATTATAAAATGCAGAATGATGAGTAACTACACAGCTTCAAGAAAAATAGAAATGGTCTGCTATTCAGTGGTAATCTTTTCCATTTAATTCAAATAGATGTGTGCTAACTGCAGACCATTGGCAATTGGGAATATCGTGTAATTTCAGAAGTTATTTTGCATTTTGATTCCTTTGAGAGCATATTTTACCCATGGATACCTTATCTTTGATGGCAGCATTCACAACTGGACAGAATATGACTTTTCTGACTCTGTTCTTATATTTCTCAGTACTCACCGGCGCACTGTTGATTATGCTTAGCATTTCTTACCTCATGCTGTATTGTATTATGACACAATGTCCCTTGTGCAGAAATTTAATCTTTAGTCCCAATATGCCTTTGTGTTTGGAGATAACTGGGATCCGGG